CGTTCGTTAGCGAATTTTCACGGTTTTTTCAATACTAAATAGAAAAAAAGTGATACTTCTAAGCCGAATTTCGAACATCGGTCAATTCCAAACGAAAGAGCATACTTTTTTCTATATAATGGCATATTCTTTAGAGATTTTTTCTAAATAGTTAAAATTTTATGAGGAATATAGACAAAATTTTAGTATCGTTCGTTAGCGAATTTTCACGGTTTTTTCAGTACTAAATTGAAAAAAAGTGATACTTCTAAGCCGAATTTTGAACATCGGTCAATTCCAAACGAAAGAGCATACTTTTTTCTATATAATGGCATATTCTTTAGAGATTTTTTCTAAATATTTAAAATTTTATGAGGAATATAGACAAAATTTTAGTATCGTTCGTTAGCGAATTTTCACGGTTCTTTCAATACTAAATTGAAAAAAAGTGATACATCTAAGCCGAATTTCGAACATCGGTCAATTCCAAACGAAAGAGCATACTTTTTTCTATATAATGGCATATTCTTTAGTGATTTTTTCTAAATAGTTAAAATTTTATGAAGAATATAGACAAAATTTTAGTATCGTTCGATAGCGAATTTTCACAGTTTTTTCAATACTAAATTGAAAAAAAGTGATACTTCTAAGCCGAATTTCGAACATCGGTCTATTCCAAACGAAAGAGCATAATCTTTTCTATATAATGGCATATTCTTTAGAGATTTTTTCTAAATAGTTAAAATTTTATGAGGAATATAGACAAAATTTTAGTATCGTTCGTTAGCGAATTTTCACGGTTTTTTCAATACTAAATTGAAAAAAAGTGATACTTCTAAGCCGAATTTCGAACATCGGTCAATTCCAAACGAAAGAGCATACTTTTTTCTATATAATGGCATATTCTTTAGAGATTTTTTCTAAATAGTTAAAATTTTATGAGGAATATAGACAAAATTTTAGTATCGTTCGTTAGCGAATTTTCACGGTTTTTTCAATACTAAATTGAAAAAAAGTGATACTTCTAAGCCGAATTTCGAACATCGGTCTATTCCAAACGAAAGAGCATACTTTTTTCTATATAATGGCATATTCTTTAGAGACCTTTTCTAAATAGTTAAAATTTTATGAAGAATATAGTCAAAATTTTAGTATCGTTCGATAGCGAATTTTCACAGTTTTTTCAATACTAAATTGAAAAAAATGATACTTCTAAGCCGAATTTCGGACATCAGTCTATTCCAAACGAAAGAGCATACTTTTTTCTATATAATGGCATATTCTTTAGAGATTTTTTCTAAATAGTTAAAATTTTATGAGGAATATAGACAAAATTTTAGTATCGTTCGTTAGCGAATTTTCACGGTTTTTTCAATACTAAATTGAAAAAAAGTAATACTTCTAAGCCGAATTTCGAACATCGGTCAATTCCAAACGAAAGAGCATACTTTTTTCTATATAATGGCATATTCATTAGAGATTTTTTCTAAATATTTAAAATTTTATGAGGAATATAGACAAAATTTTAGTATCGTTCGTTATCGAATTTTAGTATCGTTCGTTAGCGAATTTTCACGGTCTTTTCAATACTAAATTGAAAAAAAGTGTTATACTAAATTGAAAAAAAGTGTTACTTCTAAGCCGAATTTCGGACATCAGTCAATTCCAAACGAAAGAGCATACTTTTTTCTATATAATGGCATATTTATTAGAGATTTTTTCTAAATAGTTAAAATTTTATGAGGAATATAGACAAAATTTTAGTATCGTTCGTTAGCGAATTTTCACGGTTTTTTCAATACTAAATTGAAAAAAAGTGATACTTCTAAGCTGAATTTCGAACATCGTTCAATTCCAAACGAAAGAGCATACTTTTTTCTATATAATGACATATTCTGTAGAGATTTTTTCTAAAACGAAAGAGCATACTTTTTTCTATATAATGACATATTCTGTAGAGATTTTTTCTAAATAGTTAAAATTTTATGAGGAATATAGACAAAATTTTAGTATCGTTCGTTAGCGAATTTTCACGGTTTTTTCAATACTAAATTGAAAAAAAGTGATACTTCTAAGCCGAATTTCGAACATCGGTCAATTCCAAACGAAAGAGCATACTTTTTTCTATATAATGGCATATTCTTATAGATTTTTTCTAAATATTTAAAATTTTATGAGGAATATAGTCAAAATTTTAGTATCGTTCGTTATCGAATTTTCACGGTTTTTTCAATACTAAATTGAAAAAAAGTGATACTTCTAAGCCGAATTTCGAACATCGGTCAATTCCAAACGAAAGAGCATACTATTTTCTATATAATGGCATATTCTTTAGAGACTTTTTCTAAATAGTTAAAATTTTATGAGGAATATAGACAAAATTTTAGTATCGTTCGTTAGCGAATTTTCACGGTTTTTTCAATACTAAATTGAAAAAAAGTGATATTTCTAAGCCGATTTTCGAAA